GTTACAAATAAAAACTCACCAGTTACAAAACAAAAACTTCAGCTCTAGAGCTGAACTTCAGACCCAGCTACTAGAATGCTGAAGTTTTGCGTGATTGCCTTTGCTACTTCAGTCTCGTATGCTGAAGTTATGCGAAAAAGCAGGTACGATTGCAATTTTTTTGCAAAGCGGACACAAGTTAAAACATGACACAAAAAATGGGTATAGATGCAAATGTCCCATAAAAAAGAGAACTACGCTAAAAAAGAGAGCGTATGGCCATTTTAATGGCTAGATTTAGGCCATCTAAGCAAAAAGATAAAAAAATATAATAACGCTAGAAGGAGGGCTTGAACCTCCGACCTTGTGGTTAACAGCCACACGCTCTAACCAACTGAGCTATTCCAGCCGTTTGGTTTGTTTTGTACTAAATTTTAAAATATATCCTTCCTATACGTCTGACATTTCGTGGGCTCTAATTCGGAATAAACTTTTCCATAGCAATGTCTTCATCAACTCAATAAATACATAATAAGTAGTCTTCACATACTATGTTATACTAAATCATAATTAATACATAGTACTTTATTAATTTATCATTTACCTTGATGGATGATATAATTTGGTGTAACATATATTGAGTGCCTGTACTAAATTTTGCCTTCTAATTCCTCGCATTAGTCCTTCTAATTGAAATAAAAGGAAATAAAGGGGGACAATATTAGATTACTAATTGACTTATATTCATATAATAAGTAATACATTTTATTCAACACTAATGACCAATTCCATAGAACTGTCATGTCCAAGCAAGAAATCTACCCATTGTCTATTTCAAGTTTTGGTCCCCACGAGCATATAGATGCACTAAGGAGAGGAAAAGAAAAAGACGAGAAATACAAAAAAAATATATATATATATATATATATATATATATATATATATATATCACTAGCGTCGTGATTTTGATTTAATTGGAATGTAACGGAAAATTTGAAAGATCTGGATGAAGAAGAAAAAGGATGTAGAAAAAAGTAATTGAAAGGAACAAAAATTGACATGATTGGAAGGTTTAGGATTGAAGAAGAGATAAGTTGGAAAATTGTTGCTTTACAGCTTGTGTTTTTTCTTGATGAGTTGTTTTCTGAAATGTTACAATTCAAAGACTTTTAATCGCTTACCTATTTTTGTCATTCTCTTCTCCACTTTAAGTCTCTGTACAATCTTTTCCCAAAAAACAAAGTGCTGATAGAATAATTGTTTAATTTGTTTCATCATGAAAAAGAAAAAAAGGTAATTGTTTTTTATTGGGTCTCTCTTTTACAAATATCTAAAGAAAAGTGCACACTTTCAACAAATATCTAAGGAAAAATTGGATACCTTCGCCGACGTACTTCAAAAGCTATTTATTTAAATATTTTAAGCTATTGAATGAACGGTTACTTAGATTAATTCATTATATATTATATCCTTATATAGATGAATGAATAACAAATAAACACACAGCACAGTAAGTCTTGAAAACAAACCTAAAAAGTCTTGTCACTCTTCACTAAGTGATTTAGTAAATCGGTCAAACAATATATGTCTACAAATTTCACTTCACATGTCTAATAAGTAAGCAATAATCGTCATGTCAAATGTCATATATTCAAGAAATTTGTGTACAATGACCATTTATTATTCGTATGGCTGAACAACTTGCACACTGGAGTGGCCCGTCTGCCTGCTCACCTAGAAAAACGCTAGTAATTGATACATATTGCACCAATTAATAAGATGTTTTGAAGAGAAATTAAACTGGTTGGAGAATGAAGAAGACAGTTCCAAATATTGCATGACAGGAAAAAAAACACATACAATAGTTGATCTCAATTTGTCCACATCACCAGTATGAACCCAATAGTCCAATACTAGTGGACAGACCGAAAGTAAACATTGGCTATTGGACGAAATCAGAGAGTGGTTCAAGATTTTAATTTTTATGTATGATTTATTTTGGTTAATTTGTGGCAACTCTAGCTAAACCGAGAGTACATTTTGGTACCCACGCTTAACTCGTGGTTCTGAAATGGCTAATTGCAAAAATGTTTCGTGAGGGAAATGTATTGGTCGACCTTTCTTTCATTTAATTTGAACCGCATCCAAAATAAAAGGTCAGGAAATTCAGGCTAGAAGAAGACTTGTACGTAATTGATTAGGTTAACTTGGAAAATTTTATTTTGTGTCTTATACAACTGACACTAGTTGTATAAGATATCTTTTTTGTCTTACAGTTTTGTGGATCCAAATTTTTGTGAACCTAAAAGTGTAAGATTGTGGTCCACAAACTTGTGAGACAAAAAGGAGCTTCACACAACTAATTTAAGTTAGGAGAAAAATTATATGAAAACTGTAAGCAAAAAATTAGATCCCCATCTTTTATATATTTAATTCCGGGGATGTTTGAATATTTTCTCGGACACCTTTATGGCAGCATGCTTTACCTGAAAATTTGTGCTGCGGTAAAAGTTGGATAGGATCCAGTTTCATAACAAAATCCTCAAATTTAATCACTCCCTTCAGTCCATTTTAAGTATTCCCTTCGATTTACTTTAATTATTATTTTTTGTTATTTTTACATATATTAAGAAATTCATCTTTAGTATTAATTAATAATAAAATTGATCAAATTAGTCTTAATTTGTTCATTGAAAATACATCGTACAAACACTCCTAGACTTTTTATTCCAAGGACAACTTCGGAAAAAAGAAATTAATTCCTTCTTGATATCTGAAAAAATCAAATATTATGGAGCACAAAAAGTAGGCCAAAAATCAATTAAAGTAGACCGGAGGGAATATCATTTTTTTACGTCCTTAACAGCTTGCTTGGATGGTTGTTACATATTGTATCTTATTGTATTGTTATCCCAAAATAATATTTGTTTTGATTATTTATTAAAATTGATTGTATTGTTAAATTTATTGTTCCGAAATAGTGAGAAGCCCCATTTTATGAAACAACCGATTTGGTGTATTGGGATTGTTTCCTATTTTTCTTTCTAATTATATCTTTACTTATTACTCCATAATTCTATTGTACCCTTTACCTTTTTTTAATTTTAACTCTATATCTCCTACTGACGTATTTTGTCTTCATCTATTTTTTCCAAAATGAAAGAATTTTTTAAAAAAAAAAGTGTAATAGGATAAAAAGAAAGAGAAAAGAAGGAATAGAAAGAGAAAAAAATTCAAAAATTACGAAATAGACACGTGGCTACGTGTGTATTTTACTGCCCGCCAAGAATTTGGTCATTCAATTTTAGGATGATATTTATTCCGTTTTAAAAAAGCTCAGTGAGAGTGATAGGACCCCCGACAATAATAAGGTGTGTAGTTGGAACTTCGACCTTAGTTCAGGGTACTTATGCATTTTCCCTTCTTTTTATTCAAATCTCCATTTGTTTCTTTGTCTCTTTCCATCGTTCTATGATTTTTTTTTTTTTTTTTTTTTTGCTAATGATAATTAACCTTTTTATTCATGTTTTTGCTCTTGTTTTCAAGCTACATAATTAGTGATAGATTAGTAGAAAGAGATTTTCTTAAATTATTTTTATGAGTAATTCTTGGCAGGTAGATACAGACTATAACTCAAATCCTAACGGCAGAATATGGGTATGTTGGAAGTCACAACAGGTTATGGTTAGGATTTTATCATCACATCCTCAATTAGTGCACTGCTATGTGAAAGACAAATATTCTAGATTTGCTTGCCATACCACTTATATATACGGTTATAACACTATTGAAGGTAGGAAGCAAATTTGGGAGCAATTGAAAAGAATAAACAATACTATGACAGAACCATGGGTGATAATGGGGGATTTCAATACTGTTCTGTTGGTTCGTGATAGAGTTAATGGAGCTCCTATCCAGCAAGCAGAAAAATAAGATTTTTAGGAATGTATAGATAAAGTTGGCTTGGGCCAAATCAGAAGGAAGGAATGTCAGTTTTCATGGAGTAATAAACAAGATCCCGAGGATAAAATTTATAGTTTAATTGACTGGGCTCTTGGCAATGCTCAATGGTTCATCACTTATGACAATCTAAAAGCTTCTTATCTTATTCTGAGATGCTCAGATCACTCACCCATCCTCATCTCTGTCATTGTGCCTAGACAGAGACTACCCTAGCCTTTCAGATTGCTAAATGTGCTACTACATCAGGAAGCATTTAAGAGGCGACTTAAAAAGCTTGGGAGATTAACATCGCAGGGCATACTATATACAGAGTGCGCAAGAAGCTGAAGCATATTGAGCAAGTAACTATGACCATGAATAAAGAAATGTCATCCCTATATCATAAACTAGAGGAGTTACAGTCAAAGCTCAGTGACATCCAAAGTGAATTGGCAAATAATCTCTATACTCCTCAACTGATTCTATCAGAGAGAGAGAGAGATATTGCTGGAACTAGAGAAACGGTCTACTATCCATGAAAGAGTGCTTAGACAAAAATCCAAAGCTGTCTGGATCAATCATGGGGATTCAAACTCTAAGTTCTTCCATGTTCAACTCAAAGCTAGACAAGAGAGAAATAGTATTGTTTCAATATGGAATGATCAAGGAGTGCAACTAACAGATCCTACACAGGTGCAAAAAGAATTCACACACTTCTTTCAAAGTCTGCTAGGAACAAGTGCTCAAGAGTAGTCATGCCTAAATACCTACTATGCCAAAGATGGACCATGCCTAAATAAAGAGCAACAACAAGCTCTTATTCAACCTGTCACAAGAATGGAAGTGCTTCAGGAGGGATTTACCTTATGACAAGTCTCCTGGAATAGATGGGTTCACTTCAGATTAATTCTTTAAAGAGTATTAGAAAATAATAGGAGATGAAGTTACTAGGCTATCCTGCAATTCTTGAAAATGAGAAACTGTTAAAGGAGATCAACTATACTACAATAACATTAGTATCCAAGGTCTCTAATCCAATATATGTGAAAGAGTATTGACCTATAGCTTGTTGCACCACCATGTACAAACTCATAACAAAAACTTTCACCGCCAGGTTGAAGCTAGTAGTGGATTCTTTAGTTGGGCTATCCCAATCAGCTTTCATAGCAGGGAGGAGTATATTGGACAATGTTATAGTGGCTCATGAATTGGTTAAAGATTATACTCAGAATGGATTATCACCTAGATGCCTTATTAAAATCAACATAAGGAAAACATATGATTCAGTGAAATGGGGTTTTCTAAAGAGTGTACTGCTGAAATTTGGCTTGCCTGGGAAGTTTATGGACTCGATCATGGAATGTGTTACCGCAGTGAGCTCCTCACTCTTGATCAATGAAGGGCTTACTCCTAAGTTTATGGCAAAAAAGGGACTGAGGCAGGGGAACCCTATGTCTCTTTACCTTTTTATTCTGGCTATGGAATAGTTGAACAGGACCCTCAAGTAACTACAACATATCCCTGACTTCAACTACCATTCAAGGTATTGGAAGATGAAGTTGGTGCATATATGCTTTGCGAATGATCTCATAATGTGTTGTCGAGCGGATATAATATCAATTCAGCTGTTGCTCCAAGCATTCAATCACTTCTCAGTTGTTTCTGGCCTCAGATCAAATTCGGACAAAAGTTCTCTATATATCACTGATGTCTCAACAATCCTGAAGGAACAAATCTTGACTGAAATGCAATTTACTTTAAGGGAGATGCCCTTTAAATACCTTGGTGTTCCCCTCTTTTCTAGGAAGCTCACTATACAGCAGTGTATGCCCTTGGTAGAGAGAATGACATCAAAGATCAGATGCTGGACTACCAAGCTGCTATCATATAGTGGAAGATTACAACTGATCAGAAGCATGATGTTTGAGATACAAACATATTGGGCTCAAGTCTTCCTATTACCAAAGAAAGTAATTCAATTACTAGGAGTATTTGCAGAACATTTCTTTGGACAGGCAGCTGTGATGCATCGAGGGAGGCACTAGTGTCATGGGAACAAGCTATGCATGCCCAAATCAGTTGGAGGTTTAAACATCATCAAATTTCATACATGGAACAAAGCAACAATCTGTAAGCTTCTTTGGACAGTGATCACAAGAAAAGAGTCTCTTTGGGTACTATGGATTCATGGATTATATATAAAAAATAGGGACCTAGTCACTATGCCAACACCTAAACAAGCATGCTGGCTTGTGCAGAAAATTTTCGATGTCAGGAACTAGTATAAGGACAAGGACGTTACAATGGAACTGCAGCAATATGCTACACATGAAGGTTTCAGCATCAAGAAAACACATCTATCTTTATGTCCACAGTACTAGAAGGTCCCTTGGAAACACATTATTTTAGGAACACAATTGATACTAAGACATCAGTTCATACGGTGGCTTACAGTTCGACAACGATTGGCTACCATTGATCGACCGGAAAGATGGGGGNACATTTATTCTTTGGATGTACCTATTCAAGGCATATATGGGCTACCTTACTGCGATGGATAAGAGAACCTAGACAGATAAATACATGGAATGAAGAACTAAATTGGATGGCTAAAAGAACGGGGGGAGGAAAAGTAAAACAAGAAATTGTAAGATGGTTGTTTGCTGCTACTGTTTATCATGGCTTGAACGAAATAGCTGAAGGTTCCAACAGGAAAAGAAAGAGAGTGCGTATAAAGTAAGAGAAATTATCCTCCATGTGCATACTAGAGGGCAGAGATATCACAAATGGGCAAAAGTGTTAGAGAGTCTGAATTGTTTTCCTATATAGAAGTAGCAGTTTCTTTAGCTTCTTTGTATAGTTTGAGATACTACTTAGGTGTTGACTATAGAGGACTAGTCCTAGAGTCCAAAAGGATTAGTAGATGTACATATATACACTTGGTTGAATAAAATTTTTATTTTGACCAAAAAAAAAACAATTAATATTAAGGACAATAGGGGGAAAACAAGTAATTATATCTTAATTTTATAAAATAACAAGTATTATGGACCTATTATTTTTAGTATCCACGACAACTTAAAAGGACCGGAGGTAGTAGCATTATCAAATCAATATTCTACTCCCTCCGTTCCATTTGGTTGTCATATTTACTAAAAATATTTATTGCAAAATGTACTTATCATTTTATAAATTAAGAAAGAGTTAATTAATTTTTTACTTTTGCCCTTACTCTAATAAATGCAGCGAATGATTAATATAGTTGAAGTAATAGTAATAAATTAAGATTTAAACATAATAAGGGAAATTAGTTAAACTCTTAATTAATATTTTCTTAAGAGACATACAAAAATCAAATATGATTAGTAATAGCCTAATAGGGAAAGTAATTATAAAAGGAATGAAACTTGTACACGACCTCGATATATATTCGGTCTAAAATGATATAGTTCTTTCGTTTTCTTTACTTGTCTAATATATTAAAAATACAATTTTTCTTTTAGCTTTTTATTTTAACAAATCATTAGAAAAATAGTTATTTTTTCAATTATAATTAATAAGGATAATTTAGTTAATACTTTCTTGTGAAAAAAAAAAAATTGGATAAGTAAAAAGGAATGCGGGGAGAGAGTAACAGAGTTACAGAGATACATTTAATTTTTCCAAGAAAATGATGCACTTGTCGTTTCGGAAAATACAAGCTTTTCTGATCCTATTTTGAGTCGCTAATAGCCTAACCTACCACTTCCCTAGAAATATATTAATTCCAAATGCGGTATAGAAACTAGCTCTTTTGACAATGAATAGTTTCTCTAATTATTATTGCCTTCTAGAAAAAGAGACCATTTTTATATATATTTTGTCTTAATTATTGCTGAACTGGAAACTAAAAAATTAAAGGAGCTGAGTTTTCCTTAGCTAGGTATTATCCATGGATTGTTACGTCTAATTATTTGACTTCTAAAGCAACAAAGAGCCATTTTATAAAAAGATGAAGTCATAGAATAGAAACTCCAATTATATCACAAGAAAGAAAGAGTTGAAAAGGAAAGGCTATATTTTCCTATTATTACCATTCAACTTATCTGTCCTACCATGAAATATTTCTTATCCAAAGTTAGTTCTTTTACATTTTTCGATTTGCCATTTTCTCTATATCTTTTATGCGCTGGGACAAGGGGACCATACTACGGTTTACCTATATCTGCCCCCTACTTTAATATTTGATCCATAATTACTTTGTTTAGCTAATTTGAAAATGATTGTTTTCTTAACAAACATAGACGAAGTAAGACCAAAATATAATAGTGATGATCATATGTTTGGGCTGGTATAAGATGATGTAACTTAACTAGTAGTGCACTAAGATTCATTTTTAATTGAAAAGCGTCCAAACTCAAAACTATCGTTCAAAGAGGCTCAACATTTGTCTATTGACCGTGTTTTAAAAAATTTACGCAATCACATCACGGAAAGATCAACTAGACCTATATATCCTCACATAATATCAAGCCTTATCAATTATCACAACTATGGGTGACAAACGGGTGGGTTGTGTCAGATTTGAGACGTGTCAAAAACTCAAAATCGGGTAATAAAAATGGATAAATTATCCGACTCCACTCATATTAAATACAGATAAAAAATGAGTTAATTGGTGGATAATATGAGTAACCATAATATCCATGACTTCTAGAATATGATCACTTTTGGGAGAATTCCTAATCTCCCAATCTTGAGGAACCCCCAATTTGAGACTTTACAAATATAAAAGTTAAACCTATTAGTTACCATTAGTTATCAATTTAGAAAATGAATAATATGGTTCTTATCCATATTTGACCCGTTTTTAAAAAGTTCATTATTAAATCTATTTTTTAGTGGATAATACGGTTGGTTAACTGGTTTCTTTTAACCATTTTGCCATCACTAATCACAACAGGTTAAATTGCATTAAGCGTGTAAACATGCAATGCTTTACGTTGAGAGTAGCTCATAATTAAACTTTATTCAACATAACTAGCATGATGCATGAATAATTGTACGTATACAAAAACTGGACCTATCTTGAATAGTTTTCATTAGGTTAGATTAACTAAACAAGATTACATGATCTATTGAAACAGGAGGAGGATATATTTTATGGTCAATACCGTCGTTCGGATATGGTGCCTTGTATAACAGAATTTTTGATAAACTTATGTGTAAGCCAATGTGTTCTTGAGATTTAATCAATAATGTCCAATCCAATCGTATGATTAACTTGGAGTCGGTTTTATTAAGAAGAATGTATCCTCTAATATGAGATTTTTCAGTGCGAATTCAAATTTAATCAATTCTCATCGGGGTATCGGATACGGAATGGGAAACCAAAGAAAAATTCTACAAATAACCACCATCTAAATTGTTCAGCGCAATTCTCAGACCATCTGGAAAAGGAAAAAGGTATGCTTTTTAACAAACAGAGATTAGTTTGAAAAGTCTAATTAAAAGGTGTTGTAGAAAGTAGAAACATCTGAAATGTTATGAACATAGTTTTGATAATCATGATTTCCAACCCTTAAAGAAGTTAAGCAATCATTTTACTTGTATTTAGATTTGCGTGTTTATGTTCGAATCATCTAGGTTAATCTCAAGTACAAATTAAGTGATCATCAAGACATTAAGGCAAAAGTGATAATCCTTTCATCAAACACTCACAATATTACACCAGAAAAATGAATATTTTGAAGCAAAGGAAGTACAATTGTTTTAACAAAACTAAGAAAAGAAAACTTCAGAATATATTTAAGCAATTCAAAACGTATGAAGATAATTTTGGTTTCTTAGTTAAAGGTAAAAAACTTGATATAACTAGGTGATGAGAATTTGAAAAAAATACCTTAACCCGGAAAGAACCTTAAGGTATAAGTCACATTTGATATTGATGGTTTAGATTTATTCTTGGAATTAAAAATGTCAAGAAAAATAAAATATATATAATACTGTAGTCGATATACTCATTCATATGAAAAGACTTGCTTCTTTTTCAAACGTCTATATTTCTTATAGAATAATGCCTATGTGTGTATAGTGTTATTCATTAGAATTTTTTTTTATTAATATCTCAAAAAGTAAGGGAAATATCCTTCAAATAAAAAATATGTATAGTGTTTTTGAAAAAGGAGCTTAAGGTATCTTATCAGGGTCTTACTTTAAGTTATGTTGAATCGTCGTGTGGTGGATGTACTGTTTTATTCTTAATCAAATTTTCTATCACCAATCTAAGCTAGCCTTTGGACATAGATTGAGTTGAAATTTGAAAAAATAATTTTTAAAATAGTTTTGAAAAATAATTTTTGGAAGTTAGAAATTATGTTTGGACATGCATTTTATTTTAAAAAAATTTGAAGTTTTGTGAGTAGGATCTTGATTTTCACCCAAAATCTACCATAAACTAGTTTTTGGAAATTTGAAAAATATTTTCATGAAATTTTTCAAAAACAGA